GAACTTTAATATGCATTATACAGAGGCAAGATGAAAAGAAAAAATACCATCTAAACTTTTCTAAAGATAGTAAGTTCCCCTCAGACATACATTTATACAAAGTCCTACCCCTAAATGAATCACGATTTGTTTAGCATCTCAACCTATTTGAATCGTCACATATTTTAATCGATTTTCAACCATATTGCTGTTAATCGTTACATTCCTACTTACAAGATGTAGTAAGATACTGTGCAGATCTTAAACAATGTTAAGATATACAGTATAGTGCAGTATAAATGTAAAAGTAGGTTTAATATGGTGTTCACTGTTATAAATAATCATAATCTTAAAAGTTATCACCACAAATGCGTTAAGTACATGTAACATGTGTAACAAGGACACCTTAAAATAAAGCGTTACCTACATTTTTTTTTAATGAACTGTTCTTCCAAATGAGGACATCCTAAATTTCCCCAAAAGTTTGTTTTAAACTATAGCTATTATAGTTTAAATCTATAGCTACTGTAAATACACACACAAACACACAAAACACAACCTGTGTTCCTTTCGTCTCATACATCCGATTTATACTACTTACCTTCAGCATCACTGCACTGCTAATACTGAGGATTGCATCGTTTCCCAACACATACGTACGGATGTAACACCACTCAAATACAGGCAATGTTCAACCTCATGCCTGATTTGGCAAATGAAGATTTCTTCTTTTATTAAATGGTTTATTACCGTATTTCCTTATGTAACGGACTCCCACAGGGACATGAAACAGACTAGAGCATTGGAGGAGCAGTGAGAAACATATGGTGTTGAAATGGAAACTGTTGGGATGGTTATGCTTAATTTCAAACACCTCAGCAAATCGGCATATTTTGCGGAACAAAAGAGATTGAGATTGAGGGAACGCAGGAGAGGGGGGTGTTGGGGAGAGAGAGGGAGAGAAAAAAAGAGAGAGGGATGCAAACTGGGAACATGTTCAAAAGAAAATCTGTGTTAACGGTGCAGGGAGACAGGATTACGAGGGAGGAGAAGAAACTTTGGATGAATTGGGGCGGAGCATGAGAGAGAAGAGATAAAAATAGCATTGCAGATAAAAGAATCACTTACTAAGGTTACAGTCTATCCCGATACAATCTGGTGGGAAAGAGAGTGAGATGGTGAGATTTAAAGGAAAAGAAACTAAAATTCAAAACCACATCCTTCAAGGTTCAATCTGCAGACAAACAAACAATTCTTGCATAGAGTCAACCATCCGGGGACAAGGTGAGAGTCAGAATGGCCCCCTCTACAAGGGCCCGCACTCCAAAATCACAGGACGAGAGACAGCCCAACTGAGAAGAAGTGAAATGCCAAGACAGGATATGTGGCATTTGGCAATTTATAAATATACAGACAAAATAATTGGATTTAGCCTGTGCTTTGCCTCCTCCCTGTATGTGGGTGCTGCCTTTATGACAGTAGGCAAGGGCAGTCTGCACCAACAGCCAAGAGCTCATGCTTACAAAATAGGTCAACTATAGACTGGGCGGCAGAACTAAACAAATATACACTCAAATATTTCTCAGCCTTTTGAAAATGTTTGAGATCTATTTAGATGCATATCTCGATGTGCCTCTTATGAAATGCCTTAAATCAGAGCAACAACAAAAAAAAGTTTTTCAGTTTCATGAACTAATATAAAGTACATACTGCTCAAAAGTTTGGGGTTAGTAAGGTTTTTTAATATTTTTGAAAGAATTCTCTTGCTCACCAAGGCTGCATTTATTTTGATAAAAAAAAACAGTAATATTGTGACATATTATTACAATATAAAATAACTGTTTTCTTTTTTTAGTACATTTTAAAATGTAATTTATTGTGATGTGTCATGATCCTTCAGAAATCATTCTGAAATGCTGATTTGGTGCTCAAAAACATTTCTTATGATTATCACTGTAGAAAACTGTTGTGCTGCTTAACATTTGAAAAACTTTGCATGCGAAAACTTTGATGTATAAAATGTTCAAAACTACAACATTTATTTGAAATGTCTTTACTGTCACATTTGGTCATTTTAATGCGTCCATGCCGAACAAATGTATTAATTTCTTAGACCCCAAACTTTTGAATGGTAGCGTACTCGCATATACTTTTTCCAATAAAATATCCATATACATATTACAATCATCACAACATTCATGATGTTGCATCATTTTACAGCACCACTAATATCATTATTACTTCATCTCTTGGTTCAAATAAAACAGAATTTTGCCTTATAGAAGAATCTCTGAAAATATGTGACCCTGTCTATGAAAACCCAGCTAAAGTCATTTTTTCTGATTCACTGTTTTCTACATTAAATCATCCCAATATAATCTAAACATCATTCTGTGAAAATATAACCTGGATATCTTTAATATTGACTGAGTAAAGCCACATCAAAGATTTGCTGGATTTCGGGCTTTTTTGCAGTTTATTGTGCTTAATAACTATTTTAATATCCTATTTTATTTTCTCCGACACATGAGACGCAAGTGTATTGCTTCCGAAGGACATACGCAACTTTTTTTTATTAATATACGAGTTCTTTATGTAACCTACAATAAAACAGTACAACAATATGCATTATAGGCCTATTTAGTATTTATTTAAACATCTAGCCTGATCTTTTGTTTTCTGCATCGATGCAGGTACTGCCATGTCCGATAGGAATTCATCAACCCGGAGCATCAGCATCATGATCAGTGTCCAAAGACCGAATTATTTCAACACTTTCTAATGGTAGAAAAGAAGTTTCTGAACCAAATGATATGAGAATAAGCAGGCGTTTCTTTTTGGAGATGATTTAAATCAGTGTTTAGAAAGTCAACCTCTGGTACTCTGAAACTTAATGTCAATAAAATGATTAATTTCAGTATTTACCATGTTATAATTGAAATGTGAGAACTGTATCTGAAATACCTTGATATAACCTATCATTTACAGCAAGAAACACAAATTACCCATGGCTATGACTACTTTGACGCTCTTTATCTCAGAATTAGATTATGCAACTTTAGCCAGGTTTTCAAACACGGAGTCACATATAATTGGACAATTGCTTGTTATATTAATTGGAATTGATAAGGTAAAGTCCTAATGTCCCCACTGCAAAGGCTGATGATATGACTAACGACCGATAATAACAAGGAGTAGTTGATCCTATGGAACAGTGTGAGCACTCTTGGCTGTGGTGAACTCTCAAGCTGTCAACCGCTACAGAAGAGTGACCACAGACAGCCAGGGACCTGTCTCACTGTCACCCTGCTCGAAGACAGAAAGTCTAGCTCAGACTCCACTCTCCTGTGGACTGGAACTGTCTGTAATCTTCTGTACAAACAGACACAGTCTGCCGTCAGAGCAGGAGGCTGAGCTGAGAGGGCAGTGAGAGACTTTAGAAGAATTACTGTTTGGTTCTTATGGTGGGAGAGATCAGGGGGCAATTACATTTCTTCAATCACAAACAAGCTAGACGTCTAACACTTATTCAGCTTATGCTTGGTAAAGTTCTCTCTCTGTTTGAAAAAGGAAATGTGATTCTATTACTTTTTATCACTATACTTGGAAGTATAAAGTATTTCCTGAACCCCCTGTGATTTTCTTCCCGTCTAAAGTTTGACAGCCTTTGAAATTAAACTTCTATCTATTATATCTTGTATCTACAGCATTTTATCTAGAACGGCTGTTCTTTTTAAGTTAATATTAACAGCAGATGGCAGCCACTGTGGAAGATTTCATTGTGGCTGTGAGGTTGATAGGCAAATGTTACACTAGTACAGTATAAAATAAAAACTACAGGACTGAATTAAAAGTCTGAATCTTTAAAATATGTAATAAAATGTTATAAACTTGAAAATATATAATTCTTTCACAAAAGTATTTTGTTACATACAAACAATTATTTCATATGATTATTATTTCATTTTATTTCATTTATTATTACTATTATTGTATATTAATTATATTTATTATTATTCAGTTTTATTATATATTACATTTGATATTAATTCTATTATTATTCTACTACATATATTATGTTATATTAATAACAATTAATTACATTATTTCTTTATTAATTATTAATGATCTTCATTATATTATATTATATTATATTTCTTTTACCTAAAGACAGCAGGTAGAAAAATGTAGGAAAATTGAAAATTATATAATTTCCCCTCTGTCTCCCCTTTATGACTCAATGTGTCTTCTGAGGACAAACTACATGGGTTGGTCTCTCTGGCTGTCTGCTCTGAAAGCTGCAGAAAAGATAGCCATTGAAGGCTGCACAGGTGAGAGAGAGAAAGAAAGAAAGAAAGAAAGAAAGAAAGAAAGAAAGAAAGACAGTGAGAGAGGAAGACAGGAAAGAGATAAAGATGGAGGAATGAAGGTGAAATGCATTCTGGGAAGGACCCCAGACTTGTTCTATGAGTGCCTCGAGTTCGGAGGTCAGGGGTGGAAGGTTACCTAGGTTGACGGTGAGTCTGACCCTTCCCCCGTCAAGCTCCAGGCGCAGGGTGTCGGCGGACTCTTTGGAGGTGGTGGCCATGAGCAGACCATAAGCCCTCTGCGACATGAAGCGCAGAGACACGTCCTCGGCCTCAGTGTGAACGGCGTGAGGCATCAGGACTTTCAGAAACATGCTGCCATCATAACTCAGCACTGCGGACTCTGAGAGAGCAAAAAAAAAAGAGAGTAAATCAGAAAACACAGGTCTCAAAAATAAGGGCCTTTTCTGCAGCTTTTGCATTTGTATGTAGTCTAAAATAAGTAAATAACTTCAATTAAATATCGATTTAAAAAGTAATAAAACAAAATAATAATAATAATAATAATAATACTTATTAGCCAATATTATTATTACTACTACATATACATTTAGAATATTAACTACACTTAAACTAGATAAATAAATAATTTAATAATACTTTTTACATTGTTAATGTATATGTAATGGAAGATACTATTTTATTGTTATTATTATTATTATTATTATTGTAAATTATTATTATTATTGTTGTACATCATTATTATTGTTGTTGTTTTGTTGTTGTTATTGTATATTATTATTATTATTATTATTTATTTTATTGTATTATTGAGATACTTCAAAAAACGGTTATTTTTATATTTTGAATTCGTTTTTAGATTTGTACTTTCCATTTTAATTTTAATTGTAGTAACTTTGTTGTGTTTTGTAATTTTTATTAGTTACTGTTTTTAAAATGTGTCTACATAGTTTTATTAATTTTTGTTTTCATTTTAGTCAGGTTAGTTAGATTTTGATAATTGAACGGATCATTTTGTATGTGATGGCTCCCACGATGAAAGAACATTTAGGAGTTGTGAAGAGTTTGACAGTTTCACTGAGAATCAACTCATCAGTTTTGATCAACAAGCCATGTGCATTTAGTTATTGTGCAAATTTTAGACAATCGCACTTACTCATTTGCACAAAACGCCAAAACGCATGCAATTTGCTTAAATCAATAAGAAATTCAAATCTGATGTGAACAAGAAACTAATTTTTCATACATCTGAACTTATAGTTGTGAGGAAAAAAAACTCTTGAGAACTGAGCCAAAGTGATTGAGAAAAACTGTAAAATATTGCTTGAAGAGTATGTGCACCCTTGCAGAGTCACCCATGGCATGTCTGTCCAGGACACGTGTGGTCACGTTGCTATTTTTAGCGACAGACAGCAGAGGGCAGGAGAGAGTTAGAAACGATACAGCAATAGCAAACAAATGTCTAGGCAGGTGCGATCTGATGAATAGAGCTGAATCTCAGTGCAGCTGTATCTCAATATAAAAGTATACAAGTGAAGCACTGAAGCCTTGCTCTTCTTTATGAGAACGTGTCTCATCGGTGAGAAGTAATCCCATGTTTAATCCTCCCTTCCCACTGCTTTAAGCCCTACTTTCCTCACCCATCTCACAGTTGGGGCCCAGATATCCAGTTCCAGTGCAGTCGCAGACGTGTCGATTCCAGCCCTCGCGGCAGCGGCCTCCATGGGCACAGGGCTCAGAGCTGCACCTCCGATGGGTCTCTCTCGTACAGAAGCTGCTGACACCTGGAGCGCTCTGAAGCTCTGCCAGCCGCCGCAGGTCCTTGCTGCGCCCGTCTATAAAGAGATCCCTCACGCAACCCACAAAGCCCAGCCTGAGGCGGGCGGTCCACACCTCTGGGGGGAGAGGAAGACTGCCGCTGTCCTCCGGGAGACCTCCCAGATACATTTCACCATCGAGATCCAGAATCTCACTGCCCTCGTTGGTGGAGAAAGGCACCTGAAGCTCTGCCAGCCGCCGCAGGTCCTTGCTGCGCCCGTCTATAAAGAGATCCCTCACGCAACCCACAAAGCCCAGCCTGAGGGGGGCGGTCCACACCTCTGGGGGGAGAGGAAGACTGCCGCTGTCCTCCAGGAGACCTCCCAGATACATTTCACCATCGAGATCCAGAATCTCACTGCCCTCGTTGGTGGAGAAAGGCATGCTACGGCCGTTAACGGAGATGGAGCCTAGGAGATAGGAAATGAGGAGAAAGTGGAGATCAGTGATAATCTGCTTGTAAACCCATGCACCACAACATTTAGAGCCATTTTAGTCCAATTTTTAATAAAAGGACTGTAATTTGATTTAGAAATATAGGTCACACTTTAGTTTAGGGACCAATTCTCACTATTAACTAACTATTAACTAAGACTTTTGTCTCAATAAACTCCTAATTTGCTCCTTATTAATAGTTAGTAAGGTAGTTATTAAGTTTAGGTATGGGGTAGAATTAAGGGATCTAAAATATGGCCATGCAGAATAAGGCATTAATACTGTATGTACATTCTTTATAAGTACTAATAAAAAGCCAATATGATAGTCACATGCATGCTAATAAGCAACTAGTTAATAGTGAGAATTGGTCCATAAAGTGCTACTGAAATTTAAATAAATAAATAAATAAAGGTGACATGATACGTTGATTAATTGTAAATAATCATAAAATCATTTGCAAAATGCTGCCTGCAAGTTTGTGCGCTATTTAGAATTGCACTGAGAATGCAATTCAATTCCTTAATTTGAACTGAGGCAGTAAACATTTTGAATTTTGATGTTAAGGAAGCAGAATTCAAATGAATTGGGATTCAAAAAAAATATTAATTTTAACTAGAAAAGCAAAGTTTGTCAAAAGCAAAAAAGACCTATGAAAAAAACTATTGACCGATTGACAGGGAATGATGTACAAAACAAATGAAAAACAGACAGAATGACAGACAAAATGATATATACTATAGATAGAACAATAGATAGATCAAATGACTGATAAAACGACAGATAGAATGAAAGACAGAACAATAAATGCACAGAAAGGCAGATAGAACAACAGACAGAATGATAGACAGAACATCAAACAGAATGATAGATAGAAAACAACAGAGAGAATAACAATGACAGAACAACAGACAGACCACTAGACAAAACAACCGAACAACAGATAGATAGAATAACAGACAGAACAACAAACAGAACATCAGATAGTGGATGGATGGATGGATGGATGGATGGATAGATAGATGGATAGACAGACATGTAGACAGACATACAGACAGACAGGCAGAAAGATAGACTGACATAACCATATACAGAATGAGAGGCAGATAGAACAAAAGACAAGCAGAATGTCAGACAGACAGACAGACGGACAGAAAGACAGAAAGACAGAAAGACAGACAGACAGACAGATAGACAGACAGACAGATAGACAGACAGACCGTTGATGATTTGTGCACCAAGTCTATTTTGATTTCACGTTGACATTTTGCTTCATTTGATCTCTGATGAATCTAATTTTATGTCTAGGAGAAGCATTGTAGATATTAAAAGTGATCTTATTTGACATTTCTTATTTCTTTGGAAAGGGTTGATGATTTTTTTTTTTAAATAGGCCTAGTTATTTTACTTGATTAATTGGTACACATTAATCTAAAAAAGGTTCACCTTTAATCTTTCAACATCTTTTGGTAACTAAAAGTAATATTAGTAATAAACATTTCTGGTGCATGATGATGATGATTGATAAATAAACAAATAAATAAACAAACTATTATTTACTCACACACACATATATATGTTCTAGCATAAGAGTAACATTCATGATTTGTGCACTTTTAAGACCTATAACTATTAAAGTAAATGGGGTCCATTTGGAGTTCATGTTCTTGCTCCATTTGCTCCATTAAATCTCATTTCTGTCTACTAGGAGAAGCATAGATAGATCGATAGATCGATAGATAGATAGATAGATAGATAGATAGATAGATAGATAGATAGATAGATAGATCGATCATATTCCTTTTCCTGTCATTCCCATTCAACTTCCTGTGGGGTGTGGCCAATTCAAACTCATGAACAGGCACAACCCTGGATGCTTGTAGTAGCAGTTAATAAACACGTTTAATTGACAGCCCTAGTTAATAATTAACTAAAACAAATTTAATTAATGCTGCTACTACTGATCCCCAAAGACTACCATTTTAGTAACTCATGAAATCAGTGTAGCTACTGTACAATGACTGTCACAAGTAAAAAAAAAAAAGGAAGTTTCATTAATTTAGCAATCCACTGTGCTTCCTTTTTTTCCTGAGCTCAGCTAGTGGAAAGGTCTTCAACCTCTTCCCCCGGGATTTTCTAAATCCCACGCTAGGCCTGCTGCTTTTAAACTGTGGAAAGTGTATTTGAGTTGAGCTCTTACAGTAATGAGAGGTAATGAGAAGTAGAAGAAATGGAGTACAGTGATTTTAGCAGGTTGTGAAGTATGCATATCAGATGGGCAGAATGAGGAAGTGCTTTAACGGCAGAGATTAAGAGAAAATGTCTCTTTAGTCTCACAAGCAAGTACAGTAGGTTAAAACCACCGTTTTAAACAGGTGAATAATGTGTGTGCTGATCTTGCAGTATCCTGACCTTTCCTGCCCTCTCTCTGGAAATCCACATGGCACCATTCTCCGTCATTGACCTTTTTGTTCCCGACTTTGACCTTGATGCTCCCGGAGCCCATGTCCATGAGCAGGTAGAGGAAGCCTTCAAGCAGCTCCATGGCAAAGAAGTCAACCTTTGGTCTGCGGTCTTTGGAACCCTGCAGCCGGCCGTGGCTGAACAGCAGGAGGCCGTTGGGTTCGGTGGTTCGGAAGTCGAAGGACACGGAACCGGTTTTCTTGGTGTTCCAGCGCGGAAGGGTTACGTAAGCGGTCGGCGTGTCGAAACTGACGGGGTCTAACGCGGCGACATCCTCGCAGCGGAAGGTCAGGTCACCGTGGAGGGTGACCTTGGGGTCACGCAATTCAGCCAGGCGGGAGAGCTCCAGTCTGAACTCATTATTGGTGTAGACCACCTGGGACGGGGAGAGAGAGAGAGGGAAAAAAGTGCTTGAATGGTAACAGGGTGGAATGGAGTAGCCCGCTGCCCACTGGTACAAACAAACCGCAGCTGATGCGTGTACCTCGGGGGCATGGTTTTCAAGTCAGTAAACACAACAGTCTCTTTAAATACTCAAAGCACGAGTGGATCACATAAACCTAGCGACCTCATCTAGAGCGCTACAGAAACCCTCGTCTAATCGATATTCTGCTTCATTAATATGATGAATCATCCTACGCTAACATTAGCTCCGACGATGCCAAAGCTAAGTGGTTTTCTGAATCGCACGCATAAACAGCGCATTCATTAAGTGACGTCAACTGAGAAATCTTGATCTAGGGTATGATGTCTAGCCCACACAGTAAGACGCGAAGCAAAACTACTCCTAAAATAACATTCCTAGAGCACATGCAATGTGAATGTGTCCCCTGGGGTTGATTTTTTTTGTCTCAGTCACATGTTGTGTCTCTACAGCCAGATGGACGAATCAGCCCTGCACAGCAAACATGCTTTTCATTTTTACACCAGCCGCTCTCTCTGTCCGAAGATGATGACTGATGCTTTGTTGCTGGGTGTGAACTTGAGTGTCTCTGAAAATAACACAAGACAGCCATGTTTCTCGTCAGCCCTCATGACAGAAAAATAAAGGGAGAGGTAGGAGCAAAACAAGAGGTGTCAGCTCTGAGCGAAGGAACATGAAAAATGCAATTATTGCCAGAGAGCGTGGACAAAAAAATCTGAGGGATCTATCAATGAGACCCTTTCAAACCATCTCCGACTGCACAACCTAAGCATCCTAATCTTCCTGATTCGCTATCAGATTAAGATACGGGTCTGTAATCTCAATGTTTCTTAAGCGTTTGCTTCTATAAAACGTCAGTTACTTATACCTCACATTTATGCAATTGGAGGTCACTATAACGATCACTCACACCAATTCTGACTTAGTTGCTTATTAGCATGCCTATTAACAACATATTGGCTGTTTATTAGTAAAATAGCACATATTCTGCATGACCATATTCTAAATCCCTAATCCTGCCTAATACTTAAACGTAACAGCTACCTTACTATAAGCAGCAAATTAGTACGGTAGTTTATTGAGGCAGAAGTCGTAGTTAATGGTTTGTTAATAACGAGAATTGGACCTTAAAATAAAGTGTGACCAAAATATGCTTAGAAGAGGGAGACTCTTTCTGTACTTGGGCCACCTTAGCAACCATACACAACATCCTAGGAACTGCATGATGAAGCACTAAAAATACTCCGAACACCTAAACAACTATTTTCATGGAGACTATTTTCATTTTCTTCAGAAAAGGTAAAAATCTGCTTGGAACCGGCACTTTTCAAAATGAGGCACAAAACAGGGTCTGAAAGTCTTTTTTCCAATTATCAGACAAAAGGTTCTAACCCTTCAGAAAATGTCAACCTCAGGAGCTCAAACTAATCACTGTAAGCCATTTGATTTCTCATGCATTTTTTTTTTACCTAAACCATGGTTTGAGTGGTTTGAAAATTCTCTGCTGCTAAACATTCAATGAACATAAAAACTGCACATATAAAATGGACAAAATAAAAACTAATTAAGAAAAATGTATTTGTATTCAAACC